CCGTCTCAAAAAAAAAAAAAAAAATACAAAATCTTAGCTGGGCGTGGTGGCAGGCACCTGTAGTTCCAGCTACTTGGGAGGCTGAGGCAGGAGAATGATGTCAACCCAGGAGGCAGAGCTTGCAGTGAGCCAAGATCACGCCACTGCACTCCAGCCTGGGCGACAGAGCGAGACTCTGTCTCAAAAAACAAAACAAAACAAAACAAAAAGCCAGTCTAATCACAAGTGAGCGTGGTCCAGGCAGAGGCTCACGCATCAGCCAGCTCTGGAAAGAAAGGACATCAGCTGTGCCATGAGCAGCATGGCACTGTGGTCTAAAAGAGGGTGCCATAGCAGAGGGGCAGGGCTTTATCCAGAGGCAGGGCATCCATGCTCCCAGCAGAGCTCACCCTTGTGAGCAGAGGGGGCTGGAAACTGCTCTCCCTTTCCAAAGAGGATGTGAGGAAGTCACCCAGGCTACAGAACGGGGGATGTTAGAGCTCGGAAGGGCCAGTCTGCACAGGGGAAGTGGGTGTGGTGGAGAAGGGTCAAGCCGCTGCCTGCCCAGTCCGCATACAGTGCTGTAAGGGTTAGAAAGACTGTAAAACCTGACTGTTGACAAAATGCATTTCAGGATTGTTTGTATATTGCACGTTGACAAGAAGGAGAGAGTAGAAAGAGACAGAACAGGGAGGAGGAAGTGAGAGTGTTGAGGGAGGCAGAGAAAGAGATCAGGCAGCACAGGGGGCAGTCACTGCCGTCCGCAGGGTGCCGTCCAAGGACCAAGGCCCGTATCGCCGGAGGGCGGATGGATGCACATCGGCGGCTTTCCAGGCTTTACAGGAGGCGTTGCAGACCCCCACCCAAAGGAATGGTTTATCTTCGTTAAGTGTCAGTTCTAAAAAGAGAAGGCTTTGCCATGTGCCAAGCATAACTAAATACTTTGAGATTATGTATATATATGTATGTTCACGGTGTGTGCGTGCGCATGTAACTTTTCTGTCTTCTTAATAGATCCTGGGTTTGAGCAGTTTAAAATGTCAGAAAGATTGCATGGGAACTGGATCAGACTGTACTTGGAGGAAAAGCATTCAGAAGTCCTGTTCAACCTGGGCTCCAAGGTTCTCAGGCAGTACCTGGCTGCTCTGAAGACGCTTAGCTTGTCCCTGAGCACACAAGTGGCCCAGTACGACATGTATTCGATGATGGTGGGGACTGTCGTGGTTTTGGAGGTACAGATGCTCACACAGTCGTGGCTCAGGTGTTGCATTGATTTGATAACTCAGCCAAATATTTATAGTTTTAAGTATATATCTTGATGTTATTAAAAATGGGAAAATATTAATTTTCTTGTTTAACTCTTTCATGGTGTGTCCTGATTTGTGACAAGACCCAGAGTATTGTCAGGTGTCAATTGGCATCACTCAGTATTGCTACAGGTGATAAAAAAAAATCACGCCATGCATTTTGGGGCAGTTAATTAAGAATCATCTTTTCCTGAGCTTTCTTTTCTGCTTTTACTGTGTGGACAGCTGACACGAGAGCGGGAGCTGGGCTTGTTTTTAAGTGGGTTTCTCCAATCCCAGCAGTCTGTGAATGCTGCTGTTTCTCTGTTCCAGGTTCTCACCCTGCTCCTGCTCAGCGTCCCACAGGCACTGCACAGAAAGGCTGAGCTGGAAGTCCCACTGTCATCTCCTGGGTTTTCTCTGCTCTTTTATTTGGTGATCTTGGTTCTTTCGGCCGTTCACGTCATTGTGTGCACCTCAGCTGAAAGTTCGTGCTACTTCTGTGGCCTCTCGTGGCTGGCAGCAGGTGGGGTGATGGTGCTGGCCTCAGCGCTGCTGTGTGTGGTCGTGTCTGTTCTGACCAACATGCTCGTGGGTGGAAACGCCTCCAGGAAGGTACGTACGGCTGGTTCCTAGGAATGTGATGTGGTCCTTCTGCTCAGGCTGTTCTTGTTATTTCAGGCTGCCTTTCATTTACCAGGCTTTCGTTGAACACCTGGTGTGTGCCAAGTGCTGGCAGTGCCCTGGACAGGGGGCCTCAGGGAAGGACTTGGAGCAGCCTTATCCGAGGCCTCAGGGTGTCCTGACACAGGTGTTCACATTTGTGCTGTGGGTCACATGCCTTAGTTCTTGGAAAGCTAGGTTCCTGCGACTGTCACAAAGGCGATTGTAAAGAGCTGGTGGTCACGGAGGAATGAACCCCCCCCTGAGGGGGTGCGTGAATCAGACAGCCTCCCAGCAGAGGCGTGGGAGCTGCAGCTGAGGGAAGAAGAGACAGTTGTCCTGGACACTCAGGAGGGTCAAAAGGAGACGGTCGCCTCACTCATCCTGCTGCCTCCAGAATGCATCCTGCCTCATCAGGTCCAGATTTCTTTCCAAGGCAGATGTTTTCTGTTGGAATTCTTAGTCTTTGGCCTCGGACACCTTCATTTGTTAGCTGGGGAGTGGTGGCGAGGCAGTGAGAAAGAGGCGGATGGTCGCACTCAGATCCAGAGTCCAGGATGAAGTGACTTAGTGCAGTGGCAGCAGGACTGTTGGCCCCCACCCCAGCCCTGCGCAGCCCTTATCCGCTCTTGGCTTGAGCTGTCAGAGGCCCTGTGCTGAGTGTCTGACCGAGACACAGCGTTGTGATCAGGCCACAGGCTTCCTCGGAGCCAGGATGATCTGCATCCACGCTCGCACCTCGGGCCTACCTGGGCTCATGCTCTCTCTCCCTCTATTGAATTAGTACCTAGCCGCACGCAATATATAGTTATCAAAAGAGTAAGTGGCAATAATTGAGTCCTCATCTTTGATTTTGACTGCTTTAAGTTCGTATATTTAAGGGACAGTACTGTGATGTCAACTTTGTCATTTCAACAGAATTAACCATTTTAGTGGAAACTTTCTGGATTTCTGGAATATTCATGAGAAATTCGAGGTCTGGTTTGGTGGGATGTATTGTTGGGGTTCTTTGGTTTCAAGAAGCAGGAGCTGGCGATGCCCATCTGAAGACCAGAGCTCTTCAAGAGCCTGGACGCGGGAGCACGGAGGGCCAGGGCCAGGAGCCTCTGGGCGAGCTCTTTGGGCTCCATCACTGCCCAGAGGGTTCTGACCAGATTCAGTCTTTGTTGCTCAGCTTGGGCCTTGCAGTCCAGTGGGAGGACATGCTGGCTGGCCGTGCTGTGTCCCGGGCCTTGCAGTCCAGTGGGAGGACATGCTGGCTGGCCGTGCTGTGTCCCGGATGGTCGCACTCAGATCCAGAGTCCAGGATGAAGTGACTTAGTGCAGTGGCAGCAGGACTGTTGGCCCCCACCCCAGCCCTGCGCAGCCCTTATCCGCTCTTGGCTTGAGCTGTCAGAGGCCCTGTGCTGAGTGTCTGACCGAGACACAGCGTTGTGATCAGGCCACAGGCTTCCTCGGAGCCAGGATGATCTGCATCCACGCTCGCACCTCGGGCCTACCTGGGCTCATGCTCTCTCTCCCTCTATTGAATTAGTACCTAGCCGCACGCAATATATAGTTATCAAAAGAGTAAGTGGCAATAATTGAGTCCTCATCTTTGATTTTGACTGCTTTAAGTTCGTATATTTAAGGGACAGTACCTGTCTCTTATACACATCTAGATGTGTATAAGAGACAGGGCAAGGATTGCACCTGCTTGCTCGCCATGTCATGTCTTTCCCCTGGCACAGCGCCTGGCACAGCGCCTGGCATGTTGTCCACGCTCCATGGATATTTGTTTCGATGCACAGATGCACCCTCATAGCTTGTGGGGTATAGGCACAGGTACCCATGTCTCTGTGACTCGGGGGTGGTGGGGTGTGGACACAGGCGTCCCCCACTCCAGGGTAGTGGGTGTAGCAATGAAGAATGCCAGCCCTGGAACCAGACTGCCTGAGTTTCGTTTGCAGCTTTTACCCACTGGTGCTGTGGCCTGGGTGTGTGACTCACCCCCTGTGTCTCAGTTGCCTCCTCTGGAGAAGTTCTGATGCTCATCCCTGCCTCATAGGGTTATTAGGGAGGTGAAACGAGCGAGCTGCGTAGTGTTGCTGGCCACTGGCACTTAGTGCAGAGCGCCTGGTGCCAGCAGCCATGGGGTGGGCCTGCAGGCGTGTGGGTTCACGCTCAGGGACCTGGTGCCAGCAGCCGTGGGGTGGGCCTGCAGGCGTGTGGGTTCACGCTCAGGGACTTGGTGCCGGCAGCAGTAGGTTGGGCCTGCAGGCGTGTGGGTTCACGCTCAGGAACTCGTGCCACAGCGCCCTGGACCTCAGTGGCTCAAGTGCCCGTGGCAGCTCTTTCACTGCTGTGATGACAGCAGGCCTGGGGCATGCAGAGCCACAGAGTGGCGAGCCTGCCAAGAGGCACAACTGAGACGCTCCTTGGCATGGCTCTTCTGGAGTAGGAAACGCATGTCAAAAACCGAGGGGGTCTCGGGAAGGAAGTTCTTGCTTTAAAGGCCAGTCTAGGCCGGGCGCGGTGGCTCACGCCTGTAATCCCAACACTTTGGGAGGCCGAGGTGGGCAGATCACGAGGTCAGGAGATCGAGACCATCCTGGCTAACACAGTGAAACCCCGTCTCTACTAAAAAATACAAAATCTGGCCGGGCG